GACTTCCAATGCCAGGTCACCTTGTGGAATCCAAATTATTCTCCTTGATAGAACACAGACAATTGCATCACGCACCTAAGAACAAACAAAAAACAATAGAATGTCTCCATGAATCATAAATGCAGTAAAATGTTCCTTTCATATTTTTTGTCTTAGCTACTCGTACATGTGTAAAAATGAACATGTAGCTTAGAAAATTCTTAAGCAATTCCTACAAACACTTGGTTTTTTTGACCGGTTTAATAAATCAGTGCAAAGTGGTATCAAGTGTTTTTTTGTCATTTGCCCCTGAACAGCCACGAGGTACCCTATAACCACATTAAATTTCAACTAATTTGTTTACTAATTTTAAAATGAGGAAAAAAATATTTTATTTGGTCATTTGTCACTCTTGCAAATTGCTTATCACAAGATTTTGGAACTTACATGTACCTCATGAACAATCTTGCAAACAGATGACAAACCAACTCCAAAGAGTTGGGCGATGGTGCGATATTCAACATTTGTATCAAGTCTCCACAAAGCTGTGGCAACTCGTTGCTCCGTGCTTATGGCCTTTCAAAATCTTCTGTCTTGCTTTCGAATCACTGGTCTCAGTTGGTTGCACAGATACATGAACGTCGGCCTCGGTGAATACCCCGTTGACAATGTACCTGTTGAGTAGAGAATTTTAAACGCATTACAGAAAACAATAAATGGGAATGATTTTCTACAAAAAAAAGACACAGTTTCGCAGAAAAACTATTGAAACAAAGCTACAGTCAAGCGGAGATTCAAAGGTCGATACAGCTTATTCGTTTGGATTCAATCTATAAGACAAAGCATCTCTGAATGCGATAGAGCCATCACTTTTATCCATTTTGATGAAAAGTGATAGCTCTTTTTTTTTCAAGGAGTCCGAATTCCCACACACTGCAATTCTGTAACATTGAATAGAAAATGGGAAATGCGTAACGGCTTCGTAACAGTAACCACGGCCTAAATAAAGATCCCCCAAAGCATTACATCAAAGTTCAAACTAATGTCAAGGATGTCATACAGCTGTCTGCAGTGACAAAATCCAAAAATGAAAGTCATTTCCTAGGCCTTCATGGGCCATTACTAATACTATACCTCCACCAGTGGCCACTCTTTTGCATAACCCACAGCGCACTGGAAAACAAGGCCGGGACCATCCCCATTGAAAACATCAAACAATACGATGTATGCATATCATCGTGTCTGTGTGATGTTTGAAGTAACATCTCCCTTCTCATCCGTTGAGATCGTTGATGCTGACAGTTTTTTCGCATTATTTGTAACACCAACATTAGGAGAGCGACAGACACAGCTTCGAAATCATCGGGTGCCATTTTGAACATGGGGCCCGACTGGGCTTTTCCGAAATCTTTCCAAGGATTTGACTTATCTCCGTTATGCTTTTTCTTTAACTCGCTATTTTTGAAGATGCCAGCTCATACGCAAGCCCAAAAGTGTCAATGAAAGACCCCAAAAGGCACAAGAGAAACACATTAGCAATTATTCACAGTGACATCAAATGATTGATTGCTAGGGTCCAGGATTTACATGATTTAGTTAGGAAACTTGAAACGTTGCGGTGAGGTGCCTTGCTGGCCGTGCTGCATGCTGCGCTGGCACAGCCACGCCAACCAAAAAATGCTCACCTAACGTGTCGGGTGGGGCCACGAGGCACAGCAATGTTTTACAGCTCCGTGGTCTTTTGCTTTGTTCAGTTTATTTTCCAGTGCGGAAGACCAGATGTTTGGCGGGAAAGCTAGTACAAAGCATTGTCATGATTGTGGGGACAGTTTACACGCTCAGATTTCCGGTCTGAAAATCGGGCCATGTGGGTGCCGGATAGAAGTGGGAAGCCGCCATGCATTAACCGGGGAAAGGTTGACCCGGGTTTACCGAAACTCCGGGTTAACAAAAGAAGTGGGAACAGAAATTGGGAATAACAAATCCCGGGGTAATAAAAGCTTAACCCGGGGCAGCTAATCTCTAGGTTAAGCAGTTTGTAGTGGTAAAGGGATAATACTGTACATGTATCCATGTAGGTGCACATACACGTACAATACATGGGGTTTTCAGTTAGCAGAAGTTCAGTGATGAATACACAAAAAAGGGGCCTTTTATTGCAGTTTGTCACTTCACATTACACTATGCATGTACATGTACATGTATCTCTGCCAATCATGACAACAATGGGACTTTATCACACCTTACATGTTAGTGGTGCTATCTCTTTGTTATGTTATAGTTGAGTTTAAGAAAGAGGATAAACCAGTAACAGCGCGTTCCCACTTGAATTGGGAAAAGGTGGATCTTGATCCAGCATTTTGGTGTGATCGTTATCTTACCACAATGAAACCGCAAGTCGCATTCCCATTGGTGCTTGATCCACCTTTTCAGACAGAAATGTCGAGCCCGAAAGGTCACTGAGTTTGGTATTGCGCATGTGCTAGCTTGCTGAGCGCGGTGTGGCGTGCTGGGGCGGCATGCCTGTGACCCTGCGGTGTTTTGGGTGCGGAGTTCTACTGACATGACGACCTTGAATCGGACTGAATTTTCAGCCTAGTACGTTGTCTCTTCAAACTTTTGTTCCGTTTTTGATACTCTGTCACACGCTGTGGGCTATACGCTAACAAGGAATTAGTTTTTGATGGAAAGCAAGTGAAATTACACAAATGAAAAAGGTTAAGAAACGGACGAATGTGCAACGAAAATTGTGAAAGGGCAAGGCACACATCGCAGCTTGTATGCATTGCGCATGCGTGGTGACACATTTTGCTAGCCCATAGTTCAGCAGTTGTTTATTGTGCATGCTGTGCATGTTAAAAATTTCACATGAGCTACACGCCAAAAAACATACTTCTTTGTTCATCAGACCGCAAAAGTTTCGCGCCACTCGTGCACAGACGGATGTTGACAGGTCAAATTGCCGGATCAGATCCACCTTTTGCATTCCCATCTGATTGTGATCCGCCAATTGCAGGATCTGATCCACCAATTGGGGGATCTGATCCACCAATTGGGGGATCTGATCCACCAATTGGGGGATCTGATCCACCAATTGGGGGATCTGATCCACCAATTGCTGGATCTGATCCACCAATTGGAGGATCTGTATCCTGCTCCAGAGGAGGATCAAGAAAAGTGGATCTGATCCTGATCCACCTTATAACGGTTAGCGTTCCCACTAC